GAAGGTTCACAAAGTGCTGCGCCTGCCACGAAATCTGCACATCAAGCGCCGGTGCCCAGCCGACGCCAGGGCGTACATCCGACCCCATGGCAAGCAGCAGAGTGCTGTACCTGCCACGAGACGTGCTGCGCCTGTGAGTGATGTTGTGTGTGTGTGTGTGCTGTGGTGTGTGAGACGTTGTGCATCCGATGTTGTGTGAGTGATGTTGTGTGTTGTGTGTGGGATGTTGTCTGTGTGTGGGATGTTCTCTGAGTGATGTTTTGTCATCCGACCCCTTGGCATCCGATGTTGTGTGAGTGATGTTGTGTGTTGTGTGCGGGATGTTGTCTGAGTGACGTTGTGGTGAAGCGAGAGATGTTGTTGTGAGCGATGTTGTGTGAGAGAGGAGGAAGGAGGAAGGAGGGAGGAGGACGAGCGAGGAGGTGCAGCAAGATGTTGTTGTGAGAGATGTTGTGTGAGAGAGAGGTTGAAGGAGGAAGGAGGAGGAGCGAGGACGGAGGAGGAGCGAGGAGGTGCAGCCAAAAAAACAAGAACCCCACACAACAATGTGGGGAAAAAGGTTAGGGGTGAAAACATATGTTGCCTAATTCGGGCTGGATATTTTTCCAACCCTCCAACAAGGTCTCCAAGCAGGTCGTTCGCAGTTTCATTTGAGCACACAAAACATACTGGTGAAGACATGGGAAAGACTGAATAAGATTGCCAATAAGGGTTTGAGTCGCACAAGACCTGGAACATTGGAACATTGAAGTCGCACTGATTGAAACATCATTATTCATTATTCACTGTTAGCCTGCCTTTTTCATCACGCAACAGCCGAAGAGCAGCGAGTTGTGTCAAACGCACAAAACTGGCTGGTTTTCTGTCACCTTGATCATTGCCAGCGGACAGCCAAAGATATTTGACACGAGGTCTGCAGCGATGTCCACAGTAGAAACAGAACTACTCTACTGCAATGATAGTCCAATCAGATACAGCAGATGGCACTAATTAGTATGACCATGCCGAACAAGTTTCATAAATGTAGCTTAGACTGCGATGTGTGCTTGACATTCATGGTTCTCATCAGGCTTCTAAGTTCGAGGTACATTACTTTCCAGAGAATGCTGAGGCTTTCTGAGTTTTCCTACTTGGCTAGGTGGGCTTAGGCTGCAGCGACTTCCAACCGAGGTGTCGCAGGTTCTGTCCTTGGAGTTTGGATTTTTGATGATTTTTTGCTTCAAGAGGCTGAACTTGCTTGGCCATTTTGAAAGGGGTCAGCTTTTGCTCAATTGAGCAAATGAGATTTTGAGAGTCACCAATTCCATGCTGCTGTGGCCGATGGTTTCTTTTGTATCCTCCAGAAAAGGGGCGCAACTTCCGCAACTCAAGGCGCCCCGCGTCGAGAATCTCCGCGGAAGCAGCCGGGGCAGTCAGGTACAGTCTTTGACTCTGTTTTCGTTTTTCCAATCCAGAAATTCACAAAGCCATACAAAATGGCTGGCTGTTTGCATATATAACTAAAATTGGTAGAGTGTATTATACAAAAGAGGGTCCTATTCTGAGGGAGGTAAAGTCCACGGCCAATGGTTTCAGGCCTGTTGTAAAGGAGCTTGTCCACTCGTGCTGACAAGTGCTGCGGGATGTGGTCTTGTGGCTAGCTGGCGTTAGGACTTCAACCCAGGCTCGCCGATTCATCCTTGCCAGACTTGCAAACCTGCAAACACCATTGCGTCCACACACACACACAGTTTCCGGCGGTGAAGCCCTTCTTTCGCACAAGATTGTGCACGCTCAAGTCGCCAGCCCCTGACATTGCAAACCCCTTACGGAGGGGGTGTGAAGTGGGTGGCAGGCTGTGCACAAAAGCACTACCCTGCCTCCCTGCCTCAACACTGGACTGCTTGCTACGCTTTGGTAGGTCGCCGAGTTGATCGAATGGAAACGATTTGAAAGTGCATTTCTTCATGTTTTGATGTTTTGGTGCCGTGATTGAAACGCAATGGCTGGTTTATGTAGATGCTGTTGGAGTGGACGACAGACGTTTGCAATCGAACGGGGGTTGCTGTTGCTTGTTTGATTGATGACAAACCTCCCTTTTGAGCGGCTGGGCTGTTGTTCTTCTTGCAGCTTGTGCGTGCAGTTGGATAGGCGATCCAACATTGATATTAATAAAACAGTTGGTGACCCCTGCATGATCCGGTCCCCATCTGAACTTTAATAGGTTCCTCAAAACGTCTGAAAAGCTGAGCAAGATCACCAGGGGCATGAACGATGCCCACCCCCAAAAGAGAGGTAGCCGCAGGTAGCCGAACGTGTTAGCCAAGGAGGGAGAGGCTCCTGCTCTTGCGCCTGCACGTGTGAAAATGAGGCCCAGATCCATCGTCAACAACACCTGAAAGCTGTGAGTGTTGACCACTTGTGGTGAGCTACTCTCCGGTGATGTGGTACAATGTGTGCAGTGTTAAAGGTTGGCTCAATGAAAACTGGCAAACCTGGGAAGCTTGTGTGACAAACTGAACAGCAGGCAGTGAGTGATCACAACTATTTGTTTGTGAGCTCTGGGGATAAAATGTGTGTTTTGTGCCTGCATTCCAGATGGTGACTTGCTCTGGGTTTTGCCATCCTCCCAGCCTCAAAGTTGGGACAATTGCTTGTCCATTTCGGTCTGGCGCTAACATCATGCTAACATCATAGAAGAGGGCGGTAGGTGCTAGGAGGCAAGGGGCATCCGACTGTTCTTTACCGGATCAATCCTGCCCATTGCCTTGCCTGGGGGCGCAACATTTGTCATTTGCTCATTCTATGCCCTGACGTTGACTTTTGGAAACGAGTGACGATGACAAATCTTGATTGAAACTGCTTCTGGTTCCTATGTGGCCTTGGATCGGCTGCACCTCCTGCACTGCCAGCAAGAGAACCAATGTCGCGGGTCAATGAAGTGACAGGCAATGAGAAACTTGAGGCGGCCTGACGAAACAGTGTCTAGTGTGGGCAAGGGGTGTGGCCCGGCAAGCTGCATTGTTTGGTTTGTTGTCGCTTGCAGCCCGACCCTGGGCCTGGACCTCTTTGGGGTAAGCTTCCTTCTCACTGCCTGTCGCTGCAAGCCTAGTTGATGCTGTAGCGCCACTAGAGGAGTCTATTGCACCTACTTGCCAAGCAGCACTGCTGGCGCTGGCAAATATCTTCCCATTTAAACCAAAACGAGCATATGTTGTCTCCAAAGGTGGGGATGCTGCTCTTGGAGCCACAAGTACTAAATTAGGCTGAGCGGTGCTTAAATGTCTAAAAATTGTGCGCGATGCGAGCGCATGTGAGCGCAAAATGCCAGGGTGCAACGCGTGATTGAGCTGTGGTGTAGAGGGTCTTTGCCACTGGCTTGATTTCTCCCCTCAGTTTGAAGCCAGTTGTTCCTTTCTTGTTCATGTTTGCTGGTGCTGGCTCATGGCAGGTGCGTTCGGAGTCAAATCATAGCTGGGCGCACGATTTTCGGGATCCTGTCCGTGGAGCCAGCCGACGCGAGGACCACCTTATATATGCACACATGCTAGCCCTCCGCCCCGAACCAAATTACCTTTGGAGTGCTTTGTCAAGCTCTTGCTTATTTCTCAGGTTTTTCCTAGGTTTTGTACTCTGCCTGTTTTAGAATGAGATTGAATTGTAAATTTGGACAGCCATATTTTGGTGCAGCCGTTGTTTTGGTGCAAACGTCATAATCTCTACCAGAGAATCAAGAAATGCATTCGTCAAAACAAATCTCCTCAATCTCTTGATATGCCAAATTAGATGCCTTCGCTCGATGATGTGGTAATTCATTTCCATCATCACCATACACCGTGTCTTAATCCGGTGCATGTGTGTATGTTGACTGCACGTGTTGTACATTCTTACATGTTGTCGTACATACAAGACCTCTGGCACCCCACATAGTGGAAGGGCTATCGAGGGGCGATGGAGTGATCGCGAGTTGGTGTGGGTTGTTTTGAGGATTCTTTAAGTCTTTTTCCTACGTATATATATATATATATTTGGTGCATGCACAATCATTATCTGTACTTGCAGTGTTTTTTTAGCTACAGAAGAATGTACTGATTTGACTGATTTCACAGAGAGTCCACCCACATGACACGAGCAGTCATTCAGACAAATCCGCAATCGTTGGACTTGGATCGAGACCCCTTTTTTGAGCGGTCAAATAGGAGCGCTTGCGCTGTTTCATGGTAGCGGAGCGCTGGCCGTACTGAGCCGCGCTCCTTGCACACCTGCACTACGAGCACCACGAGCCCTTTGTCCTTGAGGACCACGACGGCATCAGCCAGCAGCCGCCAGCTCTGCATGCCAGGTCACTTACCGCGACATGCGGCCCAGGCAAAACGATGGTCGCTGATGACCCTTTGACAGAGATAGACAGATAGATAGATAGGCTAGCTAGCTAGCTAGCTAGCTAGACAGACAGACAGACAGACAGACAGAGAGAGACAGAGAGAGATAGATAGATAGATAGATAGATAGATCTGACCTCTGATTGATAAACGTGCTGTCAAATTTGGAATTTCTAGGAAACACTAAATAAAGTTCATCCCAGGCTCCAAGAAATAGATTTATAGTAATGGCAAAACTAGACCACCTGACTTCAGTGTCACTGACGCAGACCCCTTTCCTGTCCGCATGGTAGCGGAGCCGTGACAGGGCTCATCTCCCTCGAGCTCCACAGCGGCAGCCGGGGCAGGACCCTCACCCCATCTCGACCCCCGGTCTTGAGCTGCGCCCTCGCTGTTTTCATAGAACTGGTGTGGCAAAGGTTCTCGCATTCTTTGCTTGAGGGTACCTGACCCTGGTGTTCACCCCCTCGATTACCCCCTTGCCTACATCGTGGAGTTTGACTAGCTGATTGTGGAACGCCTGACAGCCCTATATCCAGATCCCCGTGAACGCGCTTGAGGAAGAGAGTGGTGGGTTGATGGATGGCTCTGATCCTGACCTGCTGGCCATGCTTGCTGGGCAGGTACCGGAACTCACCCAGGTGCTGATTCAGGCGGCCCAGTCTGCCTCTCAGGCAGCGCAAGCGGCGGCCACGGTGAACGTGGCTCAGGCCCATGGCCGCCGCCTGGGGGATTGAAGCGAGATCTAGCAAAGCCCCATCATGCACGGAGAGCGGGAGGTTTTGCAGTGGCGGGATTGGTATTGGGGCTTCAAGCAATATGTTTTGGTGGTGGATGGAGCCTATCAGGATGAAGCGGATCGGATTGAAGGCCACCTCAACACTGAGGCTGACTGAGACCTCCTGTCGAAGCAGAAATGTAGCGTGGCCGGTTCTTGTACAGCCTCCTGGGCAGGCTGGTGCAAGGTCGTTTGGTTGGGCTGATACGCAATGTGGAGAACTTCAACGGCTATGAGGCTCTACGTCACCGCCAAGCCAATGCCAGGAACCGTGCCATGAGCTTGTTGCAGGGCATCATGGCCTATCCCAGCTTCAATATGAAGTCAAAAGGCAAAGATGCCAAGGAAAAGAATAAGGGCAAGATGGACAAAGCCAAGGAGAAGGGCAAGTCTGATGGTGCTCCCATGGCTGGGAAAGGCAAGGGAGGCAAAGGGAAAGGAGGAAAGGGGAAAGGCGCAGTTGAGGTGTGCCGGACGTGCGGCAAACCAGGCCACATGTCCAAGGATTGCTGGCGCGTTCGCCAAGTGGAGGCTCCTACAACAAAAAGTGTGACCTCCCAGAGCCAGCAAGGATCGACTCCATCCACAACAATGACGAGCACTAGGAGCGGTGGAGATGTTTCATCAAAGGCAATTCGCCGTGTTTCGCAGCCAGCAGTTTTTGATCTGAGAGAGACCTCGCTGACTGGCACAATTCGTATGATCCAGGAGAGCCCAAGGTCTTCGGTGGAGTAGTACAGCATCGCCGCCGACGTGACCAGAACTATGTCATCAACACCATCCAGAGGTATGAGAGCTGTGATGGTGAGCGAACGCCCATGAGGATGAAGAGGTGATCAACATGATAGTAGACTCTGGCGGCTGGCGCAGATGCTTCGCAGGATGCCCAGCACACCAGGATCCAGAGACCTATGGCCGTAGCGACGTGGACATTGTGATGCACTCCAAAGATGGCAGAGGGGTGCATCAAGGAGCGGGTCACCTTCTCAGATTTGGTGAGTCAGCCCATCCTGTCGTGTGGTCGACTACTGAGGCCAGGTGGTCAATTGATGGTGGTACCCAATGCCTCAAGCACGACAAGATTGAGTGTTCAGAACCAAAGCCTTGTGGTTCGAGCTCAGATCAGGATGATCCAAGAACCTGGCGCAATTCGCGCGCTGAGGGTGAGGCTCAACCCCCAAACTACAAGAGACGGCAGTGGTTGGGGCTTCATGCAAGTCGCCGCAACCAGACTCCACAGTTCGCGCTGGAGTTCAGGAACTAGAGTGATGGCTTTTGCAGGTCGACTTTGGTGGAGCGCCGTGGTCGTTGAGAAGTGGTGGAGATGGCTGAGCCCTTAGATGGGCTATGGAAGAGGAGGAGCTCATTGAGGAGCTCAGGGAAAGAGATGGGCAGCGTGATGACCTTCGTTGCCCAGAGTGGAACAGTCCCTGAGACCTTTGGCTTTGAGATTGCGGAGAGTTTCAACTTGAAGGGGGGAGCCAGAGGGAATCGAGGAGCTGACCGTGCCCGTGGCCAAAGATGATTATATGGAGGGTGGAACCTACGGTCGAAGAGCGGAGGCAGCGTGAGTTGACTCACTTGCCTTATGCAGCGTGGCGCGCTTCATGCCTGAAGCACCGAGCTCGCCAAGACCAGCGTTGGCGGACAGGCTTGAGGCTCATGAGCAAGGTTGCCCAACTATCTCTTTCGACTTCTGCTATGTGAAGGCCTCTGGTTCAGGAGCCATTGGCGATGAAGAGGAAGGAGATGGAGCGCAAGCTGGATTAGAGATCGAGCGGGGAGTGTGCTCGCAAACTGGCTATCTTTTAGCCCTTCCATTGAAGTCCAAGAACCAGATGAGCCTCATCACGAGCTCATGGCCTTCACCCAACGAGCCGACCTGGCGCTGGACCTTGAAGATTTTGGTGACAGCTGGGTGTCAAGACTACGATGAGAACCACCAAGATCTATGATTCAGCTGGAAATGGATTGGCAAAGAATGCCACTCAGAGAGCCAGGAGCCTAGCAGCAACTTTGATGGAGAACCTGACGGAGCAGATCGCAGAGCCAGCATCCTATCTGGAGTTGGGCCTGTCGGCATAGTGTCCAGCCTTTCCATGGTTCCACCAGCTATGGTCGAGCGAGCCTATGAAGGCAAGCTATGCAACTTCGGGGGGATCTGCTTCGCGAGCTTCAGGACAATTGGGTGATTGGGGATGCCAACACAGTCTAGTCGAGCAGATCGTTGCCACCCACAGCTGGGAGTATCAGCAGAATTGCCCATGAGCCAAGCTTTGCCCCCAAGCAGCGGACTATCGCCAGACGATGTGGACGCTCAGGAGATCCTTGCCTTTGTGAAGTCCTACGCTGGGAAGAGAGAGGAAGCCAAGGATCTTGTGGACGATGAGCCCAATCGAGAGGAGAAGCAAGAGGAATCAGGACCAAAGGATCCTGAAGAGAGACAGTTGGCCGAGGACAAGAAGAAGGACTTTGTTCAGGAGGGTATTCCTGAATTGGTGAGAGTTACAAATCCCAACGCCATTGGTGGAGGGCGAAGCCAGGCAGGACCATCAGATCCTCGACCAAACACTTGACAACCTCCTACGACGCCCAGAAGTACTGCTCAGAAGACCGTGGCATTCGGGAACCAAGACGAAGAAGATGAAAATGACAGTCGGGAAGACTACTCATGAGCTGGAGGCTTCTGCACCAGAGCCGAAAAGGTTGAAGCAAGATGATGAGACGAACAGGGAAAGGCGAGTGGAGATCACACAGGTTGGAGAGGACTCCTACTACCATATGGACGACATCATTGGTGAAAAGGAGATGGCTGTGTGGCGCTATGAGAAGCGGAGGGAGAGGCTACTCTCGAGATCCCTGAGGCTCTTTTCAGACGCCCCCGTGGATCGAGTACCTCCTGATCCGCCGAAGTATCTTGATGATTTAAATTTAGCTGATGAGCTGGAGGAGAAGCGCCTTGAGAAGCTTGGCATGCTCGCGCCAATCGAGAAGAGGCTGCAGGGCTACAAGAACCTCACTACACGGTTCGTGCGAGATTGGAGGGCTAAACCAAGGTCAAAAAGAGCTTGAGACGATCCTCATTGGTGGCGCGAGAGCATGCCATAGATCGACGAGATGATGTACACAGTCCGGTAACTGGTGGACAGGGTACTAACGGCCATCTATTTGATGAAGAGGTCGGCGGGCCTCTACATACATTCGGACCTCAGGCAGTCCCCACCCAGGTGAGTACAGCCAATGGACACTTTGAAGTCCAGCGAAACCTCCCAAAGCAGAGGATTGGTGCTAAGGCATGGTTCGAGGGTGCTCACCGATTGGCTGACATTTGGGGCAAAGGGTGATGCTCCTGATCCACGTGGACGATGTCATGTTTGTGGGGGAGACGGAGCTTGTTCCAGTTCCGACGAAGAACCTATGTGGAGTTGGAGGCCGGTTTGAAGGTGATGCCGGGGAACTTATATCGTTCGTTGGTTGGCAGCGGGATCTACCTGAGCCAGGAGAGACCAGACGTGTCCTATACCATCAAGGAGTTGGCTTCAACCATGTCATGCCCGACAACAGGCAGCCTACGGAAGCTTGGGAAGCACATTGGGTATCTCAAGGGCGCATTGGGCCAATACGGCGTCTTGGAAATGAGTGAGCCAGGGCAAGACTTAGTGGGTCGCACGCAGGAGGCCAGGTGGCTCTTGGAGACCTTCAGTGATAGTGATATTGGTCGAGAGTCATCGTCGATCTACTTTTGCAGCTGTCCACATGCTGAATGGAGTTGTGATCTTCACCAGCTCACGCGGGCAAAAGAGCGTGTCACTATCTTCAGCTCAAGGTGAGCTTAATGCCTTGGTGAGTTCAGCGGCCGATGGCATCTACCTCAAGAGGTGTTTGGAACTTCTGGTGGAGGAGACTGTGAAGCATGAATGCCTAGTGGACAACTCCACTGCCCTACACCTTTGCCATCGACGAGGACCAGGGAAGCTGCGCCACATAGCAGGCAAGCTGCTGTGGATTCAAGATTTGGTGGCCCAGGAGGAGCTACAGGTGAAGGCTGTTGGGACCACCTACAATGTGGCAGGTTTTTGGAGAGGAGGAGATGGCCAAGCTTGAAGAGAACAAGGTGAACCAAGTAAAGATTCACAAGTTGGCCAAGCTGTTGAACCGACTCCTTCTCTTTAAGCTCTTGAGCAGGCAACGGCGTTGAGGACAGAATCTATTGAAGAAGCGCCCACCGGAAGAATGGCATTACGATTGTCATGCTGATGGCTTTGATGATCGCAGCACTGGCATGGGCAGTATACAAGTCATGGTATATGGTCGAGGACCTGAAGGTGCAGATCGCTGCTCACGTGAATGGAGTGTCAACCAGAGCCTATGTGCAGGGCATGCGAGATGAGATCAAGGCCGTGAAGGTGCACAGCAGGAAAATCCACAGGGGCTTAGTCAAGGCCTCAGGATACATTGATATCCAGGAAGTGAAGGATGAGGAATGGAAGCATTGCGACTACATCCAGCGGTCCAACAAGGACTTTGACTTGAGGCGAATCCACGCCCAGATCAAGGCCTACCACGATGAGAACCAGAGGCAAGAGAGAGGGCCGATCGATCTCAGGCCCTGTCGACAGACGGAGGATGAGGACATGAATGAAGAGCAGATGGTTACCATTCGCCTCGACAGTGGAGAAATTGTCGAGGTACCACTGGCATATATCGAGCCCCATGAGCCAGAAAGTGAAGGTGAAGGACCTGATGCGCCCATGGAAGTGAATGAAGGGCAAGGAGAAGTTGAGTGGGCGTATGAAGATATGCCAGCCCCAAGGATCGAAGATCCTACGGTCAACCAGGCAACAAGCTCCTGGATCACTAGTGAAGAGTTGAGTGCATTGGCTGACTTTGACACGCCAGCTGCGCGACAAGTCCTATGGGAGGCAGCGCATTTTGAAGCTGCAAGGAGAGTGGCAGAAGGCAGACCAGGAAGGGAACACGGAGCGCAAGCTAGAGATTTACTCCTTTATGGATCGACACTATCCCTTCTTGGACTCGCCTGACTTGCCTTAGTGGTTGTCCAATGAGCATTAGGTTGCTCAGCGGACAAAGGAGGAGTGGCAAAACTAGACCACCTGACTTCAGTGTCACTGACGCAGACCCCTTTCGTGTTGAAATGGCTGTCTGCAAATAACATGAAATGTCCCCTTACTAGATCAAATATTTAAATAAAGGTGAATTAGTATTCAAATTAGAAATCAATTAGAATTGAATTTGAATTAAATAAAGAGTGCTAACTTTATTTTGGGTCCCTTTCTTTTTATCAGGGCGCAGATCGGCTAACTTGATTCCGGGCCCTCTATTAATCATAGGTCAACATTAGATACATAGATAGATCGACCGACAGATAGATAAATACATGGTCTCACTTCTTGAAGGCGTTTTTTCCAGGGTTCTTCTTCAAATATTTGCAAAGACACACGGAACAAAGCTTCAGAACCCATGAAAACTTCTTCGCCAGCTAGTACGCTAAGACAATATGCATCTGCCTGTTGACCAGGCCTGGATGGTTTGTCCGCCATTTCCCAACTAGTTTTTTTCTTTTTTGATGGGTGGCCTTTCCTTTTCTAAAAATGTTCAATTCCAAAACTAATCTGCTGTGCTGATTCCTCTTTTCTGAAATCGTTTTGCCCCTCTTCCTAGTTTATTTTCCCATCTTAGTTTGATATGTCACACTCACAATTCCTCATTTTATGACTTTTCTCTTTAAAACAACATTTCCACCCTTGACTGGTATTCTCTTTACATGAACCTTGCTGATCTTGAGGACAGTCATTTTTTGTTTATCTGTACATGAACCTTCCTGATCTTGAGCATTATTTTTTGCAGTCAGTAGTCAAAAACCTTCTGTATCTTATCTTGGCTAGCTCAACATGTCCGCAAAGGACCGCAAAGGTATTTGTTTCAGTGTCTCAAGTCGTCTCTTTGAGAATAACCATTCCTCTTCCCCTCCCCTTCCTCTTCCTGTTCCTCTTCCTGTTCCTCTTCCTCTTCCTCTCTTCTTCAGCTCTTCCTGTGTCAAACTAAATTGATGGCTCTTTCTAAGCCCTTCGTGTTCTCAACTAGTTGCTTCAGTAGTTTTTGTTTTTTGCTCAGTTCTTACAACTAATTAAAGAGTAATGAGACGAGCTAATCACAAACAATATATAGAGGAATTCACCAAGACGTTGAGCAAGCAATTCAAGATGGACACGTTTTGCTAGAATATACGCGCTATATCTATTTCCTGAGTAGGGTTTCAAACGACAAATAAGCAAGACAAATGAGAGATGAGACAAAACCGTTTAAAAAAGTGAGTCATAAGAGGAGGAACCACGTGAGGCCAGAGCCAATTGATTGCGGCAACAAACGCAGCTATTTATATAATAAGAAACACTGTCGGACTGTTGGCATATGTTTGTCATTTGCCACTTGTCCCCATTCCTTTATACATGTATCTCCATCACTGCTTTCATTAATCCAGAGAGGCACACATACTAAAACAAAAAGCAAGTCAATGTTAAAAACATGTCATGCAGCCTGTCCAGCAAACGAACAAGACCTATGTTGGGGGCTAACCCAGCCAAACATAGATTTTGCTTGCATGTTTGTTTGAGCAGTTTTCAATTTGCATCATAAGGTTGTCTTCTTGACATGTTCAGATGTGCGCATTTGGATACCACCAGAAAGATTACCAGGAATCTAAGACTCCCAATGAGCTGAACCTATTGCAAATAATGCTTTTCCCTTTTGGTATATATGTATGTGTCAATTTGAAGCAAATGCACAGAATGAGAGGTGTCGGTGCTTGATTCTTGCATCGGCTTTTAGTGCCCCCAGGATTTGAAACTATTTCGGAACACAGCGAAGGACTTGATGGCTCGTGCTTGACAGGTTCATCGGTTCAAGCTGCTGAATTGATTTGCCAGGATCAGCTTCACGTCACCAGAGAGGTGGCACATCAGTCGACACATCGGGAAGTGCTTCCTGCGACTGGCAAAGATGAGGCATCCTGTAGAATGAACTCGCCGTGCCATCATACAATTTTCATTGCACCTGAGAAAGACACTGCGTAGTGATGGACATTTGTATATGCTGACAGGTGTCATTGAAGCCTTTGGTTGACCCCCGCAATTTGGAGGAGTTTCTTTGCTGAAAGTCGTGAAGGTGAGTTTGTTTGTTGTGCCTTCAGGAATTCGTTCAACAAGACTTGGACACTTTCTGGAGGCAGTTCTTGTGCTGTCACAAGTGTCAGTGCACTGACGACCGGTTTCATGTGGCTGACGACCAACACCACCAAATCACGAAAGCTAGCCTTAGCTAGCTGGAGTTGCTCTTGCTTTAGCAAGTTAAGTGACGGGGTGGACGCACCTCAGAAACCTCAAATAATTGATTAAATCAATCTTATGGACCCCCCCCCCCCCCCCCCCCCCCGCGGTTCGACCCCCCCCTGCGCGCGGTGAGCGGGACCACCAAGCAGCTGCAGCACACCAAGCGTCTGCAGCGCCCAGCGCAGCAGCGGCAGCAGCAGCAGCAGCACCAGCAGCAGCAGCAGACCACCCAGCGGCGGCAGCAGCAGCAGCAGCATACCCAACGCCGCGGCAGCAGCAGCCGCAGCAGACCACCCAGCGCCAGCAGCAGCAGCAGCAGACGACCCGGCGCCTGCAGAGCACCCACCGCAGCAGCGCCCAGCGCAGCAGCGGCAGCAGCAGCACCAGCAGCAGCAGCACCAGCAGCAGACCACCGTCAAACGATTGTCCAACTCCAGGTGGTGCCCAACGCCAGTGGATGGCTTGCACAGGCCATTGCTCTATTTTTGGACTTCTTGCATTGAGCTACAAGCGACCAACGACCGTGTGTTTTGGCTAATTTCTGGCTCAGGTGTGGCCTATTAGTGAAACTGTTTGACTACTGTGGCCTCACAAGGAAAGAAAATAAGGCAGGAGACAAGGCTGGAACCCCAAGTGATCTCGCACCAGTTTTACATCTGGCACCTCTATCTATTGCAGGTCAGGCGGCTCAACAGTGAGCTGCATGCGTTGGGAGTTTTCACCACAGATCAAGTTGAGCCCCACCAACGCGTGCCATACGAGGCGGGTTGCTGCAAAGTTCTTCTATTGCTGTCAGAGCGCTGTTGGACATGCTTCATCTATACAATATTCACCAAACAGTGTGGCAGTACTAGGGGTTCTTACGGTAACTGTTAAGGACGGGTGTCTGATCGAGGTGCTTGCATCCGCCGGCGGCCAACTCGCTGCTTTTTACAGTACATTCATTCACCTCAAGATCTTCGAATGCATTTCGACTGCGCAGGCTCGCAGAAGCTGGTGGTGGGCTGGCGCGGGTGCTCTTCAAGACTGCGCTCTCGTTGCGGTTCCGTGCGCATTGTCGGACTTGGTGATCACTTTTCGTGGCTGGCGCAAGGGAAACCTCGTGACTTGGTGGGCGACTTTTCGTGACAGGTGCAGGAGATCGGAGCGGTGCTTCGTCCATGTGGATAGTCTTCGGTGTGCTCTGTTCTTGAAGTGCAGGTGGCAGGCGCAGTACTTTGTGGACCTTGAAGCGCAGATTTCGTGGCAGGCGCGCTACTTTGTCGACCTTGAAGTGTAGACTTCGTGGCAGGTGTGTTTGTTTATGGAACTTGAAGTGCAGATGTCTGTGCAGATGTTTCAAAGCAGGCGCAGTACTTTGTGGACCCAGGGCAGGCTTCGTCGGAGCTCTCGACCTAAGCCTTCAATTCTAAGCCTGCACCTGAACTGTGGACCTCCGTCAGCACCACCACCCTCATCACCACCATCCCATCACCACCATCACTACCATCACCACCACCACCATCACCACCATCACCACCACCATCACCTCCACCATCATCACCACCATCAACTCTCTGTGGAAATTAATGCGTCTAGATGTCTACACTCTACACTTTCTGCTTCTACACTTCTAGACCTTATACACGTAAACGGATCAGGTTTTCTAAACACCACTCTGCTGTCGGGTTGTTTGAAGCTGAGATTTGTTCGGCCGCAGGCATTTGTTCAGAGTCGTCGATTACGAGAGGCTGTACAGAACTGTGCTGAACTCAAAAAGTGATTGCTGCACAATTGCCGGCAAAGAAACAAACTCTTTGTGGCAGGAACTTGGTAGGATGTATCAGTGGCCCTGAATGATGATTGAGCATACTGTCTGCTCGAGAGAATGGACCGGGTTGATGCCTTCCCAGTATAGCGCCTGTGCTTTGCAACCTTCGAAGGACTAATCATGAAAATAGGAGCAAAGCGGAAAGACCTCCAATTGAATGTTGTGCTGTTAGTTGAAGTTTGTTGGGGTGCATTGGTGCAGTGAGACCCTTGCTGGGATCAGAATCCATGAGAGTGCTTGATGCGTTTGCGTGAACTTGTTCGCTTATTGTGGTGGAATGTGACTGCCTTCGCGATAGTTTGCTTGGGCCGATGCTTGAAGAGAATTTGTTTAAATAAGCCTGCGTTTATTATGCACAGTGATTTAAGTTTGAGTGCATGTTGATAGATGGGTTGGGCTTGTCCAGGAGCAGGTCAAAAACAGATGGATGTGGTTGTCGATCTAAAGGTCCTAGACAGCATTGTGTATGACGGTGACCCGGAACATATCAACATCTCATTTGGCGAAAGTTTTTTCTCGAGTTGGCGAAAATATTTTTTTGGCGAAAGATCTGGCGAAAGATTAGATATGTACTTTTGTATGATGGTGGCAGTGACTCAGAAGTTAGATGAGCTGTGGAAGTTAGATAACCTGCTGCTGCTGCGACTACTACTACTACTACTACTACGACTACTACTACTACTACTACTACTACGACTACTACTACCACTACCACTACCACTACCACTACCATTACCACTACGACTACGACTACTACTACCACTACCACTACCACTACCACTACCACTACGACTACGACTACGACTACCACTACGACTACTACTACTACTACTACTACTACTACTACTATTCTCGCTCCTGCCTTGGGGGGGTGGCTTTGCCACAAAACTCTACCCCGCAAAAGGCGAAAGCTTGGCGAAAGTTCGCTCAAGATTGGCGAAAGTTCACCCTTCCACATCTGACCCCCAGCCCATTATGAGTAAGTTTCAGTGACCGGCTGCTACTGTGATTCTTGCAAGTTTGATTCTTGCTGACACCCAGGAGAAACAAAAGAGACGTACAGGGTGTCAACAGTTAAGTAGAAGACACATGCTGACAAACAGTGAAGTTTCTATTTTGTGTTTGCCAGTAAAGAAGAAACCATTGACGTGAACAAAACACAACATACATGACACACATAAGTACAACATACTTCGGCGAAAAATAAAATGCAGGAAGGCGAAAGTTTGGCTAACATAATAAAGGAATTTAGATCAACTCCCATGTACACCAGGTCAATGAAACCTGGCCTCCATCATGCCAATCCGCTTCGTTGACATGCCTTAAGTGATGGGGCCATGTCCGCTGCAATTGACCACAAATCCTCACCACCCAGTCAAGCTCTAGCAGCAGTCGTTGTAGGTGAACCTTTGGCTAATTTTCCTTTTCTCTATCATTGAATCATTCTCTATGTTTTCTGCAGCGGGGTTCCACACCTTTGCTGACGAGGACGCATAGTCAGCTGATTACTGCCTGAGTTTGTTTGCTTTCCACCTTTCCACCACAGTGCTACACTATGTCTGATGCTGCCCAGGTTCGGACGCCAAGCGTTCGTGGGAAAGGAAGAGGAAAGGCTGCAGGCTCACCTGCCTCACCCCTGCTAGCGTTCAATTAGCTTCAACATGTTTGATGGAGTGCGTTTTGTTTGTCAATGGCCTCAAACTCAACCTTTCACGTGTTTGCAAGTCTCCTGCCAGTTTGTGTAGGCCAGCTGCAGGGCAGACTCCTTTGGCGCTTTGGGTGCTCAATGTGATATCGTTCGAAAACAAGGTGTGAGCCCGAAGTATGCTGCAAATCATGCTAGATGCAGCCAGTTGTACTTGCCCTTGTTGTAGCTGCCGGTGTCATTAGTGACCCCTGCGTTTTGGAGCATTTTTTGGCTTTCGACCCAGTCTTGCTATGAGGAGGGGGTGGGGGTGACACGAAGTGCAATTGCAGTGGGTTCCGGTGGAAAGACACTGTCTCGAGAGCGGTCGACCGGACGAGCACAGGCGAAACTGACAAGTGCTATGGCGCGCGGTTGTTTCTCTCAGTCTTGAGCCACATATTAAATATGTCAGTCATTGTACAGTGAGGTGTGAGACCATACAGGGGTTATGTAGCCAGTAAAAGGAAACAGAGGCGTCAACTGGTGAAAGGTGAGACGCTACCGGACTCTAGACTGTAGACTCTATACATCCTACGAACGAGTGAGCTTAGGCATCGGCAGAAATCACAATCTTTTCCCAAGCGAAATCGTCATCAAAAGTTCATAATTGCATTTGTGCTGTTAATTGCAAGCAAAGGGTAACGCCAGCGATCATCCCTTGGACCAAAGAGCAAGGCTTCATGTGGTAAGTGCGTAAATCGTTCCATGGAAGTAACAAGATAAGGCATTTTCAGGCTGGTAGTTATCAAGTGCTGGATCAAGGATCCAACATTTGTAACTATCGGTTGACGAGCTTCTTGGACGGGATGATTGTGTTGCATGCTTGTGGGCCACTTCGCCCAGCTGATGACGGCGCCCAAAACTGAATCGAGCTGGCCAATATCAAAGCCTCACGTTCGGAAGCTTCCAATTGGCCACGTTGTTCTGCAATTTGTCCTTGGATCTCATGCCAGCTGGCCTCTACAATAGCAGGTGTTGAAGTATGAAAGGATGCATTGACCTTAAGTTGACTCTGCGTGGCGGCACTACAATGCTCATTGATCTTGGTCGAAAGTAATGGAAAACCAGGCCACATCGATGACGGCAGTTCCGAATGAGCGTAGAAAGGCAAACTGCTACCTTGTCTGGCAACTCCTTAGTAGCAATTCTTTATATTGGTATATTTGGCTCCCGGTCTGGGCTACTGCATCTGCCTTCTAGCAAAAGCAATGTCTTCCAATGGTCATTTTTCGAGATGCAGACTTACTGCTTGGGGTCTACAGTGGTGTAATTTATTGGATTCAGGTCAAGCAGTGCTTGACCACATTGTTGTTTGGTGAAAGATACATTTTGCAGGAACAGGGTTGAATTGTGGGTAGGTGACGAGCCACTGCCAAGTCGGGCAGAGATGCTATTCATACTTGCCGGGGAGCAGTTGTCGGTGTCGTTGTTGTGGGGGTTGGTGGTGCTTGTAACATTTTGTAACTTTTATGGCTACACGACTCGTGACGATGCTGCTGCAGGCGATTGCGTAGGTTGATATGGACGGCTGAGAGACTGGAAATCAAATCGTTGTTTCTAGATTGGACTGATAGTCTTGAGTTTGGTATGTTTCCAACACGTTGCTAAGGGGTGAATGTGCTCCATCACCAATGTCATTGATTTGCGCGAGAGTCTCTCGGCATCGGCCTGATAATATTGAGGGCCCCTATGCATTTGCAACAATGCAAGTGTGTGGGTGTGTGCCGTTGTAATAATATGTCTTCCACTTTTGTGTCCAGCTGGCGAGCTATCGCAAGCAAACCTCAGTGCAGCGCAGACAATTTTGTTTAGTTGAACTAGTTGAGCTGGGGTCCTCTCAGCAAACTGCACATTATTTTGAGCGCACATTTTTGGCATGTTGGGAAGCATGCGTTTGCTTGCGCTAAACAGCCTTGGGCCACGTCAGTGACGCTGCCCAATCACTTCCAGCGACAGCTGTTAGGAGGTGGTTGGAAATCTGTTCTTCGCACAGGAAGCGCAGTGATGGGGTTGTTTCTGGAACTGACCAGTGTGATTTAGTTCAAGACTTGTTATGCACGTGCTTTCCTCAGAATGTGCTGCGCCGAAATGTGGGTCATGTTTGACCACGTCTGATGTACAGGGCCCCATGGGGCTGCAGATGTGCCCAAGCCTATTTGAAACATTTGCAATATGCGCTTTATGTCAGAGTGCGCCAAGTTGCTGCCCCGGAGCCTTTGGCTTCTCTCGTCCAAAGTGGCTCTGATTTTTTCACTTGGTTCACTTCGCTCTGTTCTAGTTTAAAAAAACACTGGTTGGTTGTGCGGCAATTATGCTCCATGAAGATGCTATCGATGTTAGTTGACGTGGGGAGTGGTGTGGTCACCGTAAAACTCTTGCTGCTTTGATCCCCACTTGTGAGTTGAAGTCCACTGCTTAAACCTGCTCAGACCAATTTGAAGAAGTCTGGCTTGTGAATGTGTTATGAGCAGTGTCAGAGAAGCAATGAAGGTCCAGGAAATTGCAAACAAGTTTGGTGGAGAATTACACTGATTCGAATTGATAAAGTTCTTTGGCGGCTTTTGTGACTTTTCCGACTTTTCTGCTCTAACTCTTTCTGGGAGAACGAACAGCCTACCCTGAAAGGTGCGGCTGTTCTGGACTGCAGTTTCTTGTGGCCAAAACGTGAGTTGCGTCCAAGAAGGCTCCATCATCACATGCTAGGTTTTTTGCAGCCAGAGGCCGGCCTTGAAGATTGCTAGACCAGTGTGGAAGTTTGAATAAACAAAGCTAAGACACGCTAAGACAATATGTCGATCGAACTTGCAAAGTTGTTGCAAGTGCACATATCAAAATGCAACAGTTTGCTTTGCTGAGCTTATCAGATGTCCCATTTGGGTGTCCACAGCTCCCTGCACTGTTTGCTCCTCCACATATAGATTGCCATCTTTTTTCAATGATTCCGCCGCAGGTACGCTGTCGTAGGAAAGACTACAAGATGCAGCAGCACATCCAAGTTATCTGTAGCGACATGCTGCGCAATGCTTGTGTTCAGATCAAAGTAAGACCAAGACTTCGAAAATTTTTTGGGTGCAGAAGAAGGAATCGTGTTAGTAGTGGGTTGGAGTAAGCAGCATGCGTTGGCCGCTTGGACCACACACAAAGAGGCACTGGGAGCAATGCGGGCACACATGGAAAACTCAGCGCTTGTTGAAAAGATGTACACACTCTGACATTGGTTTTCAGTTAATCTATTCCCAAGTGGAAAAAGGTGAGGGAACAGCAAGGCGAGAAAGTCAGGTCACTTGAAATGTTGAACAGTTGTTGTACTCAGCGGTCGAACTCTCGTGCGGCTGGCTGCAACTCACGAGCGGCTGAAAACTGCGGTGGGAAACCTGTTTGGGGGAAGGATCACATGAAAAACCATGAATCAAACCAAAGGAGTGGACAGCGTGATCAACAGTTGCGTCGCAGGTACAGGAAGCTGGCCAAGTTTCCCTTCCCACTCTTATCCACAGCTTCGTTGCGTGTGATAGGATAAGAGTGTCACATGCCCCTGCGAATGCAAGTGGACAAACAAAAGGGAAAGGGACTCTTAGTTGACACACACACACACCACGCCGAATCCGGCGCCCATGTTGCAAGTGGTGACTTCTTTCTTTTGTCTTCTTTAAAAAACGCTCGCAGTCTCTTGCTGCGTGTCCCTTGAGGACGCAGAGACGCACTAGCTCATCGGCCGCTGCAGCTGCGTGTTGTGGTGGGAAAGTGTAGGTGTAGATTGCGTGGAGTCGGGAGGCCAGTCCGGATAGGGTGAGTCGTTGGCTGCCTGCGCTTGTGGAGTCCACTGATCTTCCAGGGTTGAGTGGGTTGAATGTAGGTTATGGTGCGCTGGAGAAGGTCGATGTTGAAGCCCAAGAGATGCATGTCATCCACTGTTTCAAGTTCGAAGGGATCGCCGAAAAAGTTGTGGTGGATGAATGTTTGGATGGCTGGGTGGGAGAGGAAATGTTCGTTGTGTACGATGAAGCGGTTGTCCACATAACGATAGTAGGTGAAGTGTAGGTCGGAGTGGTGGAGGAGGTTGTTGTGTAGCTGGTGCCAGGAGTGTTCGATGAGGGTGATGGCCACATTGCAAAGGGCTGGAGACAGCTGGAGCCAATCCCTGCGCCTCGGATTTGTTTGTAAGAGTAGTTGCAAGCCCGGAAAATACAGGTGTTGAGGGCAAACGCCACGATGGTGGTGATGTCGGAGGTATGAATGGTGCGTTGTGTGGGATGTCGTGCATGGTGTCTGCCAATATGAGAGTGGTGAAAGGGATTGCTGTGGCTTTGGTATCGACTTGCGTCGATTGCTGGGTTTGCCATTCCTGGACGAGGGAGTGGACGGCGTCTATCAATCTGTGTTGCGGAACTGAGTTGAAGAAACCAACGGGGTCATCATTGGTTGCATGTAGGGTGATGTCTGCTGGGGCTTGGGAAAGATAGGAGTGGAAGTGATGCCAAAGTTGTGGAATGGAGAGTTGTCCCGGGTGCTGCGGGAACAGGTGTTGGAGGATGATGGCAAGGGCCCGGCTGGTGATGTGTAAGAGGTTGCCGGCCATGGAGTGGTAGTAGGAAATGGTGGTGCGGCCCTTCTGACATTGTTTCTTGGCTTTGAGGTGGACAATGCCGTAAGAGATGGTGAAGTCTTTGCGAATGCCCCATTTGTATCTGGATCGAAGGCTGGGCCGCCGCCTGTTGCAATTTTTGCCAGGCTCACCAGGATCCCCGGACACTATCGCATGGACCCGACCGCCCGGATTTCCCCACAAGCCAGCAACTTCCTTACAGCACACCTACTCCCATCTTCCGATCCTCCACCCTCTCCCTGTCCCCCTTCACGCACTCCAATTCTCCAACACAACCTCTCCCTCCTTTCAGCAAACAACGATCTCCTCCACCGCGACCGCTCCCGATCACGTGATCGGTACACTCCTACACCTTCAGCTGACAATCACTTCCACTTGCGCCGCAACCCCAGCCTTCACACCACATCCCGCTCACACCTTTCCCCGCGCCAAGAAAATACCACTCCCGACTAGCACCCACTCGTGGCCATCGCGGCCCCCTGCATCATTCGCTGTGGACAGCCTCTGCTTCCGGCTCTCCAGATGACATCCGGACTTCCTCACCGAGGCCACTGCCTGATAGCCACTCCCGTAGTTTCTCTCACGCAGTCTTCATATTACACCGCAACATTTTGGCAAACGCTTGCAGCCATTTGACTCGGCTTTTCACTCTTTCCAGTTTTGATGCCGCAGCCATTTTGTTCTGACGATTCCGGCACTTCCACCGCCCTCTCCCGACCTAGTCATGGACTGCGATCAGCCGGATTGGTCCAGATCACCGTCCCCAGATTGGGGGACGAAAGAAGACCCCTATCTCGACGAAGAGGGGCAAGATACAGCCATCACCTTTGAGCAGCCCACACTCAAGCCTGTCCCCACAGCGGCGCCTGACATTGCCACATCCACACCCTGAATGATGTCCAGAGTCAACAGTCCTAAGAAAGAGGCGATAGGCGTTGCGATCGGTGAAAGAGCTTGGGCCCGGCACAGGGTCGTTCACGATGGGGTGTTGTAGTATGCTGCTGACAGGGGTGTGTAGGGTCTCGAGCATCCAATGCAGAAGGAGAAGCTCGGGCTGGTGGGTCACTGATGGTGCCATGTAGGGCATGGGGTTGCCCGGGAGGTAGTGTGTGGTGGATGTCGGTGGTGGCCAGAGTGGAGGGGGTGTTGTGTGGTTCGGCTGTGAGGACCCACTGAGGGAATCGTAGCACGGAAAGTGGCGCTGCGTTCTGGACGCAGTTCAGTGCCTGACGCCAAGTCCTCTGAAGCACGGAGATTGGCCATGAGGCGTGGTTTAAGAATGAGAATCAAATTGAAGTGGAAATTCGAAAATGAATTGCGGTGAGAGTGTACATGAAAGTAGAGAATCTGAACTGACAGCATTGAAAACAGCATAAAACCGAACATGTGAAAGCCCATAAGGCGTATAGGAGATAACGAAAAGAAAAGGAAGCAAAATTCATGTGATTTGTCGGAGATCGGAATGGCTGAGCAACATGTCTGCTAAGCTTGATTAGACAACGTCCGCTGAGATTTTCCGGGAGCACGCCGGAGGAGCTGGGGTGAAACGGAATCACACAAAATAGCTGCCTATAGTCTTGTCTGCGGATGGTTCATCTTCACTGTCTTCAGCGGCCGGCCACGCAGCTGCAGCAGCAGGATGTGGATGAAGAAAAGTCTGGTTAAGAGTTGTGCTGGGGAGAGAGTGAGCGGGTGGTGCCAGCTGGGGATGTGGGGGAGTGGAGTGTTGCGGGAGCTGGAGGTGGAGAAGGTGAGTGTGGTGGCTGATCGATGAGGCGCTGAAGATCCTGTATCTTGCCCCAGCAGGCTTTGCATTGTTCAACGGAGAAACCCACTGTTCGTGCAACATATGTCCAGTTGGGGCGAAGGTGAAGGTCTGTTTTTAGCTCCACCAGGCGACATTCAGCGTCGGCGTCCCAATCATCCCAATTTGCATTGTTGTGGAGAGGAGGTGGCGCTGGTCGTTCGGAAGGAGGGTGCCGGGGGGGTGTTGGAGAAGGTGTGTCCGGAGTGACTGGAGTAGCTGGAGGTCTTGGTGAAGGTCGAGGATGTGGGGGCGGTGTGTCCCAAGAGGAGGTGGAAGAAGGAACATGAAGCGCACGAGGTGGAGGTGTGGGGAGCTATGGGAAAGGACGGTGGAGCTGTGAGTCGACTTGTCCGGTGTGGATCAAGTATAGGCTATGG